TCGATTTGAACATCGAACATTTGATTGGTTATCTTAAAGTGGGTCCCTTCCAATTGTTGCTTCGTCTCACCATTTGATCTTGGGCCAGATCTTGCTGCAAGCAAAGGGCATGACCTCCACATGGGGTCGGCTTGGTAATATTTCAGCAGCAATCATACATCTCCAAAAGGTGAAGAAGAAGGTCGCATCGGCACTGGAAACTGCGTACGGAACACTGGACACACGACACCAGATACGTCGCATCTGCCGAAGCGTTTAGCTGCAAAGATAGAAAGTGAAGGCCTGCAAGACTTCGAGGACAGGCGTGTCAACAATGATCGCCGAAAACCGACAAAGGACATATTACTGACCGGTGAAGAGCTATTAAAATCCTCAACACTCGGGACTTTCAACAAGAAACTTGCCGCAATGGTGGCGGGACATGGATTTGATGACGACGAGGACGAATTTCCGATGGCAGCGTTTGGAACCGCTGGGCTGCCAGACGATGCACCGGTAGCTTGAGACCATGTATCACAGCCCATAGAATATTATTTCGGTTTCTCTAGAAGGCGGGAACTACGGCGCACGTTCATGTTCACTTCTGATAACACCTGCTGACGCCTCGACCTCTTCTCCACGTGAGTATGATCCTCGCGCTCTACCACCCGCTTCTGTGTCTTTTTCGGCGCTGACCTTGCCATTTCCTCGTCGAAGGTGCTGATGATAGAGAATACTGCCGATCCCCACTCTGCAGCCCACTCGTCGGATTCCTCGAGTGTTGAGATGACTTGCACTACGGAGGTCATACAATCCGGATGAACGGTACAGAGCTTCTTGATACTTTTCGCATCCAGGATGAATGATGCCGGTCGCACGACACGTAACGGATCGGAGTTGTGCGCGAGGGTGAGCCACTGTCGTATGCGGTCCTGCAGCGGGTCTCGAAGCGCTACCTTCCGGTTCGGAGGTCCCTTTGCCTTGCGCTTCTTGCGCTTCGGTGGGTTTAGATGCACTCGATCGGGCTCGTCAACATCACCAGCATAAATAGCCCCCGTGTCGTCAGTGTACAGAAAGCGACCAGGGAAGAATGTGTGTTTGTCGAACCGCAATTGTGGTTCACCGGGGTGAAGCCGATCGCAGCACCAGAGCATCGATACTTCGAGAGCTTGGAAATATGCAGGTGAGGCCGGCTCTCAAGTGCGCGAAACATTCGTACCGTTCACAGCGACGTCTGCCAAATAATCCCGAATTTTCTTGCGTAAACAGGTTTCGGAACGAACATACACGATCATTGCTAGGCCAGCGCGTTCCGGTTTCTTCGAATTCTTTAGAAGTCGTCCTGATATTGGTCGATCGGGGTCCGAGCTATCCACAGCAACAGAATCAAGTGATGCTGTGTATGCCCACGGCTCCGCCATCACGAGATACACCGAGAGTTGACCGCAGCGACCGCAGCGACCGCAGCGACCGCCCCGCTGCAAGGAGGTGTTTTTCTTCTGTGGTAAGCCGTGGTCAATAACGGCAACGATATCCGGAACATCTAGACCCTGAAAAGCATACATTTAATCAACACGCCCACCGGCTAGTGCGAGAATTTACCGTTGATGCTCCTTCTGTTGCATGGAGAATTCGACAGACTCCATTTTCCTTCGAGAAGTCATCATAGACATCAGTGAGATATTGCTTGACATCCCACCGTGATAATGTCGAATGAGGCCAGTATTTGTAGCTCCAGCGGTAGGCATTTATCTTGGTAACCTGCAGCATCCGCACATTGCTGAGTGTCGTCATGGAAGACAAGTACTTTGAATGGAAGTTTGAAAGGATCGCCGATGAGAAAATCAAGATTTCGGAAATCGTTTAAGCTTCCGACTATGGGATGAGTAGCGTAGACTGTGTTGGGACGATTGGAGGATAGTTTTAGCGACACGAGGGAAGTCTGATCGAAATTGAAGTGCTCGATGACAGCGGTCTTGATATGTGGCGGAAACGTGCCCGAGAGCGCTTGAAATGATGTAGCCTTCGGAAGGCGCATCTTCAGCTCATCCAGAGCACCCCAGGCGGGGCGGAACGGCGGGAGACCGCAAAGGGGAAGGCCCGCAGCGTGGTGATTGTGCGCCTCGTCGATGTGAACACGAGCGATGGTCCGTAGAAAGTTTGGGATGCTGAGGAGTCGTGCAAGTCGGGGGAGGTGACCTTGGTGCGTTCTGAGTTGTTCGGGCTGTATAATCAGGTGCTGGAAGTACCCGTTACGAATTTGCTGGCGCATTATCAACAGTGGCAGCACGTCAATGCCAATGCGCACATACATCCCACAAAACTGGGTCGCTGGGTGTATCCTCGTTTATGCACATCGTCCTGATGCCCCAACGCTCAAATTCAGCCGCCTTTAGAGACGATTTCAGCCCGTGACACAGGAGGACGAGTCTCCGTACCTGCAAGATTTGAAGCCGCTTTAGAGGGGACACAGTGATGGAGGTAGTATCCGGATAGAGTAGACTAGGGATTATTTGACATAGAGTTTTGCCGGAACCAGTGCCGGAGTCGATGACAGAATGTAGACGATGCGCGAGTGCAATAGTGGATTCTAACTGATATTGGCGGGGCACCATGCGGCCAGAGCTAGCGTGGAAAACGAGGAGACAGGATCTAAGGGCAATACATTCATCCTCTGCGTTGAGGCCGCGCAGATATCCATGAGGGAGACGTTCTGCTGAGATGACGGCTTGGGTAAACTCTCGGAGCTTCTCCAGAGGCGAAGTGCGAATGGTGTTGAAAACAGCTAGCCAGTAGGGGTTGATTAAAGTGTTAGGTATGTCCATTATATGCAAGAAACAGAGCCATAGAGCGACAGCGCGTCGGTAGTGGTGGTCGAAGGCGGAAGGACGCGATGTTTGCCGGTGTTATGACGCATCGGTTAGAGGGCGGACCGCGGGCCTGGAATAGCCTTTTTGGGACAGCTCGCTTGTCATATGAATTCAAACTCAGATCGACTGGTCTGTACCATCGACAAGCTCGCTTCCATGGTACAGACAGTTACTGGTCTAGCCCGTAGCGTTTAGACTCGTAAGTCGTCTGGTCATTCCTGGTCTGTAAAATAGTCCGTCCCTCTTGCCGATAAATGAACAATGGATACACAAAATGCTCCTTCATCTCTTACCACCATCCACCCCCCTCCTATCCTCCTCTTCTCTCCCCACCATCCTCCCTAATTGGGCTCAAACCGTACCTTGCCGGAGCGAAGCAGCTTCACCCATCACCAACCTTGGTGACATGCTTGATATGTTAATGCCACCCCCGCTGGTGTCGCTGTCTGCAAAGCTTTGCCACCCTGCCTGAGTACACATTTCTGACCCGTCAAACGGGTTCTCCCGTCCTTTTTTGTGTTATCTGTGATGGCGCTGCACCAAAGGTACCCCGTCCCTTCATTTATTGTATACTTGAACTTCCTTGGACTGTTTTCGACTTGGATTTTCTGCCGCAAATTCATTCTCTCATTTCCCATCTAATTGTGCCAAGGTAGATAAGACTACTGGGTAATCACTTACGATGACTCCCCAGAGCTGGCACAAGCCACCTAATAACTTATTGCTCAGAACAAGGGCACGGAACGATTTGCGGCAGGATTTGCGGTCTGATGGCCGAGAGTTCAAACTTCACATGACCTCCCAATTAGGCAACCTCGTGGGTCGGCCGTGTTTCCCCACGTTTTATGAGCTTCTACGCTGACGTGACCATATAGAATGAATGTGGGATTTTGTTGGGGTACGGGAGAAATTCCTGACGCCTGGGGCGGCAGGAATAACCGGCGGATGTCTTCACCAAGGCCACGGAATTGGCGGTATGACTGATCCCCGCTATCCATATAAGCATTAGCCAGAGGGTGAAGGATCCAGAATTGAATTACTGAGCTTCAAAGGGCCTAGGGCGGGCGGGGAAAAAGAATGGAAGGAGGCCGCGGGATGGCACGGCCGAGGATGTCTGACGAGCGCGATGGTGGCGAGGAAGAGGAAAGATCTGCTCACGTCAGCAGATCGTCGATCATAAACATCATTCTGCGACCAACGATCGTGCCTCACGAGGACACAGAAACTCATTTATGCTTCAAATTTCGAGCTAGTTTATCCATCCCAGGTTCAATTTATATGCCTAATCGGTGGCAGGAGGTCCGCATGACCAGGAAACAGATTATCTTCCCATTTCGCCTGTTTGACTCAGGTCAGAGTCGTGGGGACGAATGGTGATTTCTTTTTCTCTGACCCCCCTGAATACCTTGAATTTTGTCTTTTCTCTGGCCGGGATCCAGGCTGTAACGTAAACTGACCAACAAACAGAATTTTCCAATTCAACACCAGCTTCCAATCTCAAGACCACGTTTTATGCTCCAAATTTCGAGCTGGTTTATCCATCCCGGGTTTATTATTTATTATTTAACCTCTGCGGCGACTCAATAGCGGATGATCCGCATCCACGCTAAATAGTTAAGGATTCATTGGGATTTTCCCTGTGGAGTTTGCCTGTTCGACTGAGGCCCGAGTCGTTGGGAGCATGGGTGATGTATTTCTTTTTTCATTCCTAGGACCTTGAATTTTCCCGCGTACCGTAAGCTGACCAATAAACAGAGGTGTTCAATCAAAAACCTGATTAATTCGATCTCAAGACCGCGGTAACATTCGTCAATCTTCGAGCTAACTTATGCACCATATATTCAGTTTATGCACCGACTCGGTAGCGGGGGGTCCGCATCCACATTGCATGTCCACGGAACCATGCAATTACCTGTCGAATTCGCCTGTTCGACTCAGGCCCGAGTCGTGATGCGATAACGGCGGTTTTATTTTGTCATCGGCCCTTCCCCTCGCTCGCCGTCGGCGAGGACGCTCTGATCCTCCTCCACCCACTGTCTGCTCTCTTCAGCGCGGGTAGGCTATTTCCTGCTCAGTACCATCTGCGTTCACACCGATTCCAGAACTTCATGGCGTAGCGAATTTATTCAACCCCGATTCAGGGTGCGTGCCGACTCGGTGGCGAACGGTCCGCGTGCTCTTCAAATAAATCGGGAAATTCAGTGTCTTGAAGCAGGTGCCTGTTCGACTCAGGCCTGAGTCATATAGACTGCATCAGACGCGGCGCCGCGCCGCTCCTCGCTATTCCAATTTCAACCATGCGTCACCACAAGATCCACTAAAGCACTCGACTTGGCAGTTGCACATCCACACCGAGCCGCCCATTTTATTCTCGTTCGTTAAACCGCGTAACCACTCCGCCAGCCACTTTAATTCAGCCCACGTTCAAGCTGAATAACTACTCCGTGGCGGATGGCCGCACAGCTTGGTCTTTTTAAATGAACACTCGAATTCACAGCTGTTGGGCACCGAGTAACGGTACCGCGTTGGATTGTTATTCGTGATTCTGAGCCACATCCGCACCGCGGTCACAATCCGGTCCCATTTATTAATCTCAAACTCAAGGCACGCATGGATTCGGTAGCGGATGGTTCGGATCCACGTAACTTCACGGCCTTGCCTTTCCGTGCTTGGGGTGGAACTCGCCTGCTAGAATCAGGTCCAAATCATCCGTGAGGGGGATGATGTTTTTTGGCCCCCGCCCTTTCAGCTTCTCCTCCTCGGACACCTTCCAAGATGAATTTTATTTTGAGCTTACCTGCATCCGCGGCTCAAACTCCAGACGAAAAGAAAAAGAAATGGAGCCTCTCCTTTGGGCCCATGGAAGCTACTCGAAACGCCGAAGCTGGGTACCGACTCGGTGGCGGATGGCCCGCATCCACTTTGAAGGTGGCCTTGCCGAGCCTGTTTGTAGTAAATTACCTGTTCGACTCCGGCTCGGGCCATGGAGCTTGGCGCGTCATCTACTTTTCCTTTTTGCTCTGGGTGCTGTTTCGTCCGCCTCGCATTACTCCTTTCTCTCTTTCTTACACAAGGAACGAATGAAGATTTGTTGTAGCATCTGTTTAGAAGAGACTAAGGGGGGGGGGGGGGGGGGAGGGCGGTCTGCATCCATACCAGATGAGACATTGGGAATGATGCTGGTTCAGCTTGTTCGAATCGGGCTCGAGCCGTGAGAGAGCGAGCACATCTTTTTTTCTTTCTCTTTTCTGCTCTGGGCGCTTGTGACGGTTACAACTGCGTGCTCCTCAAATTGCGAGTATCCTTCTTCACTCGAGCACATTCAGCCGTCTCTGTTTTCTGTTTTGTTTTGTTTTTTGTTTCCATCTACTATCAAACCTAAGGCCCCACATTTTACCTCGTCTTGACTTGTTTAACCCGATGCGGAGGAGTGCACCGCACGAAGTTTCGGTCCATTTTCCCGACGAAAAGAGACGTGTGAATCGCACCATAGCCACCGAAGATTCAAAGGCGAACAGCAGAGTGCGTCATTCACGGCAAGCCCGTAAACTGCGAAAGGGCGATGATGAATTCCTGTCTTCAGAGCACGTACGTACACAAAACAACTAAAAAAAATCATTTCCAACAACTCAACTCCATCCAACAAAACTTTTAATCCCATTCCAAACGCGTTGCCTCCTCCACCGCCTCGTCACCTCTCCCTCCACTCTCCTCCGAATACCCTCATCATCTCTATCCGAATACAGCGGGCATCTGCGGCACCCTATCTGTGTACACCGCCCCCGTCCCCCCTCGATAAAGTGGTCGCAAAAATGGGTCCTCCAGACCGAAGACTGATCGCGGCCGAGGCTGGCATGGCAGATGTGGCAGTATTCTGCGCGGCAGAGACAGGTGCAGTGGTTGCATCCGCCGTCCTTGACGAGGGCGGCGGAGCAGGAGGGACAGGTGTATATGAGGGATTTGTCCTGAGATTCAAAAGAAAATCAGTTGGCGAGCGAAGGGTATGGGTGTGTAGGTGAGAGATAGAGAGGGGGATATCAGACATACCACAGCACGTTCGATCTCTAGCCTCAGGTCGTCTGCTCTGCACTTGTGGTCGTCTGCGAACCCGGGTCGAAAATGGACCCCACAGCCTTGTGGCGGCAGACATGTCAAGAAGTCGCATTCCGGGCAGTGGAAGCACTCTGGCTTTTTCATTGAAGGAGAAGAACCGATGTATGAGCTGATGGTTTGTGCCAGCCTGCGCCTCAGGCTGCCAGTGTTGGGGATCGGCTGTGGCACAGGCCGGTACTCTGAGTCCTTACGCTCGTCCACAACGACATAGCTGCAATGCGCGCATGTGATGAGAGGGAGGCCAAGCCCCTGAAGCTGTCTGGCTACGATTGCCTTATCCCAAGAACACCGCATTTGCGGGGAGAGGGATTGGGTGTCGAGGATTGAGGAGGGAGATGGGAGACAGTAGCAGCAAAGAGGAAACGTGGTTCGTGGTTCGTAGGAGAATGCAACGTCTCCAGTGATCATGGCCGTCGTTGTGCTTTCGAAGCATTTTAGGCAGTACCAATGCCGATTTTTGTCTACTCAAATGCTTGATAGTCAGTATTTATAAATGATAATTGATATATATACGTGCCATTGGAACATGATACAAGATCGCCCAGCCAGATTTCATCATCACATATGGTGCATCTTTTGGATTCCGCAGACCAGAAGCGTAAACACGATTTCCAAGCCTCAACCGCGGCATTGTGGGCGGAGTAAGCCAAGTCAAAGATCCATTCGACGCCAAAGACTGCTGCGATGGAGACCCCATTGCCCGGCGAGCCGATCCGTGCAAGGCGCTGAGTGTTTTGAGCGGTCATGGCATGACTCATGCACCAGGCGTTTAGACGCAAAGGTCGTCAAGGGGCAGAAGATAGAGCCCCGGGATCGAATAGGGTGAGAGAAGTGTAGGCACTGCCCGAGGACTCGATCAAAAGGAAGACGGAAGCCAGCTGGCGAATAGTATCATTGATGACGAGACAATGGCAAACAAAGTACGCGATTCGCTTTTCTCTCACCATCAGCATGCTTTTGGAATCCGACTGCGTTAATGACCACAAAAACGCTCCACGCACTAACCTCAATTGCACTCGACTCGCGTCGCTGATTTGGTTGTCCTGGTTCTTGGAATTCCGAGTCCATCGCGCGCTACTGTGTCTATAATCTCCGACGCCACTGACTGGCGTACCAAAGGTAACAGGCACTGTGCCTCGCCCTCCCCTTTCATTCACCTTGTTCTATGTCACTTTCCTCTCCTTTAGTTATATTTCCCCCAGTTAGCTTAATTGGTACCTGATGAGGGCTGTATAATTAATTACCTTATAGTGCTGAATTCCCTGCGCGTTTGTAAGTCTTCTGCCATTCTCGAGTAAAGGCCGCGGCTAACTTTAGGCCAACGCTAGCTCGGTGGAAGGCGGCACCTATTCGCATCAGGCTCGAGTCATGACTGTCATATTCCCTCCAGTTCTGTTTCTTTTCTTCTCTCTCGTTTCGGTTCTTGGACCGGCCCTCCTCCTCAGTGCTTCGCATCTCATGCACATTTCTCTCCACGCAATACCCGCATGCATATCGATTACCAAGACCGTCCTCTTGGCGCCAACAATTCATTCCACTCTTATCCACACCGGCACCGAATCCCGACTTGGTGGCGGATGGTCCACGTCCGGCAGGTCACGGACATCGGCTCGCTCTGACCTTTCTCATCTTGCTTTCCAACTTCCAACCAGTAAACATCTGCGTCACCCTCTGGCCAGTTCCCCATCCTCTCGTCATTCATTTTCAATAACTCAGTCTTGATGACGCCGAACCTCATTCACCGGCACGGCCATGGGAGACTGACCCCCTCGTTGCACCGCCTGGTCGCTTTTTTGCGAGAAATTCTTCTCATTGCCGTACAATTAGAAGAAATCAGACAGCAGAATCGCGGAGCCGTTGACAATTTGCCAAGGCAGCTAGCTGGCACCGGCTTCTTTTCGGAGATTCGAGGTCCGTCTTGGCACACGCCGTACCGAATCTAAGATATGTTACCCTCCTCTTATATTCGCCGCAGATTCAATCCACGTACACCGACTCGGTGGCGGTCCTGGGACGGACTCTCAGATACAGTTTGAATACGGTCCATTCATTTTTTAACAGACAAAAATCGGTCGATGTTCCGGGCGCATTGTAGTAGAAATGTTGCAATGCAGATCTCCAACAATCCAATCCAGATCGCCTCCGTCGTCAATTTCAGAGTTCCGGAACCGTCGTTGCGTGAGACCTGAGCATAGACTTGCGGTTACCCTCACTGTGGAACCCCAACTGTGTGAAATTCATCCATTTTTTCACGCAGAAATTGAGGGGAAATCACCCTCAAATCATGAATTTCACGCCCAGAAAGTGAATTTCACCCGAAGACCCCAAAATATTTCACGTACAATATGGAGCTTTTCACCCACCGTTTCACGCACTTCGACCGTGAAATTCACGGTCTTTAAGGATCAACTTTCAGCAAAGGATTTCCTCACTACTACCCCAGGATCCTCGACTAGGTGTTCATTTCATAGTGTTCCTGGTCTACAGGTGCTAGGCATTCAACTACAACACTCATATTAAGTCTAACTCGCTATCTAATGATTTTGCAATTTGTATTCCAATGGATAAATAACCAGTACCGATGAACAGAGTTATGCACCTTCGGAAAGAATACGTGAAAAGTTGTGTTCACGCTGTTTTAGAGTGAAACTGATTTTTTCACGTAATTCCATTTCTGGGAGACAAATTCACGATGTCTTCACGCCATATCGCGAATAGAAATTTTGTAGCGTGAAATTCGCGCACTTCATTTTGCACAGTGCCTACACTCCCGGCGGCGTATAGCTAGAATAGGACCGATCAGGCTCGTATCTTCCTCCGAATGGACGTCGCGTATTATTACGGAGATATTGGCCTTCCGGCACCCACACGAACTTAGGGTTCACCAGGGGTACAGGTAGAGGTGGGAATCACTATACCTCTACCTCTACCTCCCTAACCCCTACCTCTAGAGGGGTAATACCTCTACCTTCGCAGAGGTATTGAAAGGTATGACCTCTAAGGTACCTTTGACCAAACCTCTGAGGAGGTATGCAGGGGCTTCACCCTGAATATAGTTAAATAAGTGTATGCATGATATCAAGAGTAGCGTATATCATTAATACTACTCACTGAGTCATATTACATCCT